TCTTGCACTTTGAATTATTCCAAATTTTTATTTAAATCTCCTGCAAGATCTTTGCGCCACTGTGAAAAGTGATTCACTTTAGTACAACTATGAGGTTCAAAACGAAATCGTTTATTCATATATTTAAAGCTTTACGTGGGAACATATTGCCGCACTGACAAGCCCAAAATCTGCAATAGCCGCAGCAAAGTCGTCGTTACAGACAAATAACGAAACATAATCGACTAGATTTCGTCAATCAGTTCAATTCGTGGAATCTCACAACCACAAATCTATTATGCCACAGTGAAGTACAAGAATAACCTGATCAAAAAAAACTTCCCCTCAACCTCAGGATCTTGAAGTAATACAGGAATGGGAAATCTTCAGTCTTGCTTACGGCAGATTTTCAGACGTCTTTTTTGTGCATTCACAACTGTTTCGCCACCTGACGCAACCCAAGAGCAAAGAGGCGACTTCAAAACATATTACTTTTGTTTAAGAAAGCGAAGATCATAATTTTAGCTGTAAACATATTAAATTGAGCTTCGTATGCTCAAAAATAACTTATCAAACCGAAATGACAAAGAAACTACACGGAAAATGAAACAACACGACAAAACATACGTCCACTTCAATAAACCCTCCGAAAACTCGATTTCTACAAACTAAAGCACGAGAACTGTATCAAAAATCACACCTTCACTATGCAAGAGCAAAATCACAAAGGAAGTGCAGTATGTTTATTATTCTGAAAACCACGTATTTTTGAATCCCTAGCAACGCGACTCATGAAACAGCATTATTCTCGCACATTCGGAAAAGTTTCCTCGTGCACGATGGTCAAAAGCGAGGTCGGCAGTCTAATAATTATTATAGAGAAAGATTTACCAAAAAGATGACTCAAGAGCAAAATTCAGCTCATAGTTACGGATGATTTCACTAATTTACTACCTACAATGTCAAATTGTTTGTCTTGAACAAATGTTTAGGAGCTGCTAGTATGCTAGGATACTACGGAATGATGATAATCTGCTGCTCTGATTTTGAAAAAGAAACGAAACTGTTTCATAACAGCTTCATTAGCGATAAAAACGAGTCGTTTTATTTTCGATGCTACAAAATATCTTTGTTTGAAATGTAAACTTTCCTTAACACCACTAGCTTTATAACATTAGGTCC